GGTTGCTGTAGTCCGCCACAAACAGCGCGCTGCCGTCCGGGCTGACGGCGACAGTGGCTGGGCGCGAGAACTGCGCTGCGCCGCCCACACCATCGGCGCTGCCTTGGGCGCCGCTGCCCGCGACAGTCGTCACTGCGCCCGTCGCCACCTCCACGCGCCGGATCTTGCGGTTGCCGAAGTCCGCCACAAACAGCGCGCTGCCGTCCGGGCTGATGGTGACGCCGAATATGTCGTTGAACTGCGCCGCGTCGCCCACGCCATCCGCGTCGCCTCCTTCGCCGCTGCCCGCGAGCGCAGTCACAGCGCCAGTCGCCACCTCTACCCGCCGGATCTTGCAGAAATCCGCCACAAATAGCACGCTGCCGTCGGGGCTGATGGTGACGCCGTATAGGTCCTGAAACTGCGCTGCGTCGGCCATGCCATCCGCGTCGCCTTCTCCGCCGCTGCCCGCGAGCGTAGACACAGTGCCAGTCGCCACCTCCACCCGTCGGATCTTGTGGTTGTCGCAGTCCGCCACAAACAGCGCGCTACCGTCGGGGCTGAGCGCAATATCGCGGCAATCCTCGCAGGTCGCGACGGTGCGGATGCGCCCGGCCGCCGACACGTGCAGCAGCGAGCCCTCCTTAGTCGAGACGTACCAGCCGCCCGCGCGATCGCTTGCGACGGCACGCAGGAGCGATGCCAGAGGGCCGGCCTCGCCCTCGAGCGCCAGCGTGGTGACCTGGCCAACGACGCGCGCGCCAAAGATGGGCGCCTCGAAGCCACCCGCGACCGGCACAGCCTCGCCCTCCTCCTCGCCGGCGGTGCGGGCGCGCTTTCGGGAGGACACACACATGCGAAGGGGTATGCACAGCGCGCGGGGATTTCGGTCATTTGTGTCTGCGGCATTTTGTGTGTCGCCGCCGCTCACTCTTACTACAGAATATAGCATCCCGGCCTTCGACCTTCGACACGGCGGCGGCGGGCGTGCAGCGAGTGCGCCGGCCAGCGCGCACTCGCCGGTCGAAGAAGAGGATGAGGGCGTACCGCGTGCCTCCCGTGTCCCGTCATCGCGCTCACGGCGTGCAGCAGCCGGCAGGAGTGCACGGTGGCGTCGCCCTCGGCCCGCAGCAGCGGCTGCACCGCCCCGCCGAACACGCCGAGCAGGCGGCCTGCCGAGGGGGGTCGCTGGGTGGGCGGTAAGCCGTCATTGCCCGGCGCTGCTTGCAGCGCTCTGGGTGGTGGAGGTGAGAGTGGTGCTCTTGGGAAGAGGTTCCTCCTTTCCGCTCCCCCCCCGCAAGGCGCGAGACACACCTCCGTCGTGCGACGCATCGTCCGAGAAGAGAACCCGTCGTGATTTCTTGATGGTTTTCTAAAATCTCTCTCTCTCTCGTCCGAGAGCGCGACATTGAAAGAAAGAAAGAAAGAAAACAGGCATCAAAACGAGGGATGGGGGAGGAGGACAGGGTAGCGTGACATTGACCGTAAATAAATAAATACAACGGACACGCCAAACGAGGGGTGGGAGAAGGACAGGGTCCCCACCTGCACGAGCAGGATCTTGTAAGGACGATCAGGGACACCGGGGAACGGGAGCGGGGAGCGCATCGCGACACGGAGGGGGGCTGGGCAGGGTTCACCCTCACGACATTGACCGTCGCCTAGGTTTGCTGTTCTTCTTGTGTTTTTCGAAAGCCTGACGGCGCCTGAACGACGCGGGCGGTGGAGGTTGGTGGGGCAGGTCCCTCTCTACGACCTCTCCCCATGAATTGGCTGGGCTTTGGCCGGGCGGCCGATCCCGAGCCGGCGGCCGAGGAGGAGCAGAGCAGTAGGCAGCGGTTGCTAGCTCCGCGCCCAGCTAGTGCCTGGCACGTCACACGCCAGCACTTCACCGCGGGTGCACTGTAGGGTCTCGGCAGAGACGCGCCGCTCCGGCGGCCTCCTCGTCGATCGCCGCCACGAGAGCATCCACCCGCGGGCGCGTCGCGCCCTCTCTCCCTCTCCTCCCTTCACCTCGTCGGCAGACACTCGCCCCACCCCACACGTGTGCGGCGGCGACGGGCGCT